CGCCTCTTAGGGCCGCTGCGAGGAGGGAGGAGGAGGAGGAGGTGGTGGTGGTGGTAGTGTTGGTGCGTCTGATTGGGGTATTGGGAGCCGAGTTTGCATTGTTTGGAGGAGATGATGTCGCGATGGTGGCTGAGCGGCTGAGCGAGGCTGGCAAGGGGAAGGCCTCTTCCTCTTCCTCTTCCTCCTCTGCTTTTTCTTCCTTTTTTTCTTCTTCCTCCTCCTCCTCCTCCTCCTGCTCGTTCTCGTTCTGGTCCGCAGCTCCCAGCTGATCTACTAGTTGGGATATGCTTTGTTCTTCTTCTGCGTCTGCTTCGTCGGATGAGCCAGCCCCGGATCGGCTGCCTCCGCCATCGCGGCCAGCCATGGAGATTAGAGCCAATTCTCTTGGGGAGCGGAGTTTGCGATTTAATATTTCTGGTGTGATTGCGGTTGTTGAGGGGTGTTTGGCAGGGTATCCGGCGGAGGGTGGCGGGACGGCGAAATGTTTGGGTGTTGGGACGCCTTCTGTCTGCAAATTTGGTGAGAGTTCTTCTTCTATGAGAGTTTCATTAAGGGACATGGAGCCAGGTTGTGCGCTTCGAAAGCGATTTTTTGATGTTCTGCTGCTGCTGTGGAACGGCAATTGGGTAGCTGGCGAGGCTATTGCAGAATCTTGATCGAGTATGGTTTCTTCATTGTCCGGTAAGCTCAGATCACCGCTCGCAGCGCTGTCCCGGTTCTTGCCACCAGTGTGTGGCGGGTAGCGGTCTCGACTTTGCGGCATGCAAGGTGGAGATCGGGTTTGATTGAGTTTTATGGAGTTACTCCTCGAGGAACTTCGGGAGGCGTCCTTGAATGAAGACGAGAGGATCTCGTTATCGTCTTTGAATAAATCTGCTGTATTTTGCCGCTTGGGTTGTGAATATCCAAGTCCATGATTATGCTGCGAGTGATCACAACCGTCAGGGCAACTTCCCCATCTTCTCCGCTGTGGTATAGGTGAATCACCAATCCCTGGTTCCGGAGCGGCATTGTTCGCATGATTGATACTATCCCTGGCAGCCCTCTCGCGCTTCAGCTCAGACCATGTTCGAAGCTGATTCTGAAGGATGAATTTGCCATTGGCGAGGTTTTTTTTCATGACTACAAACTCGCAGTGATTAACGTTTCGTAGATCTTCGAAGTACTCAACACTGAAATGGTACCATTTCATAAGGAATACCCGAGTCATCAAGCCATGGGTAACGAGTATGCAAACACTGGCAAAATCATTCTCTTCGAACCGTCGCCAAAGCGAATCATTGAAGCCAGAGATCCGGTCATACGCATCAGCAGCACTCTCGCCATTTGGTATACGGTAAAAGAAGTGCCCGTAGTCTGCCCTCGCTTGCCACATCCTTTCCATTTCTGCAGAACATGGTTGGAAGTTTCCAAAATCTTGTTCCCTCAACCTTGGTTCTTCATATACTTTGATTGTATTCCTGGGGAATGGAGACGGTGACGGATCATCGCTGGTCAAGGCAGATAGGATCCCTTCTGTGGTCTCCCTCGTACGCCGGTAGGGGGATGTGAAGAAGTGGAGGGTGTCATCAGGACGAAGGAGTGCGCGCAGCTTGCGACCTGCTTCAAGAGCTTGTTGATGCCCTTCTGGTGTGAGGCGGACGCGGTGGTCTGGCACGGTCTGATGTATATCGCGATTCTTGTTGCCTTCGGATTGAGCATGCCGTATGAGGATGATTAGCTGGGAGGAGGGGCGGTCAGATTGAGGACTTTCTGGTCAGACTCGGAGATGATGGCTCGCCATAAACTTTGATAGACTTACCCTAGGCTTTCCCATCCTCAATGTCACACTCAGTACGGGTAAGGCCAGAGAATTAATTGTGAGGAGCGGTTGGATAAGTTTGACTGCTAACCCTGTGCTTCCTTAGCCAGTACCGTGTATATGAGTTCATGCTTCCTGATGTATTATGAGGCTACTCCGAGTACACAGATATACTTAGCTGGCCATCTAAGCCGGCACGGTTGACATTAGGCTGCTGCAATGGTTCTGAGCAATTGATTGCTTCTAGCATGAGTGTGTGTCTAAGAAGAAGAGCTGCCTTGACATAACAGAGCTAACTAGGGTCGCCAAGGGCGGCTAACGAGTCACACGTGATAACATGAGGGTCTCTCTTAAAAATAATACGTCCTTATATTATGTATTATTTCCCTATAATTATCGCTTGTAATGCTAATGCTTAATGTTCTATCTTTAAGTTATTAATATATTAATTAACTAAATATAACTTTTTTTCAATAAAGAAAAATAGAAGGATAGAAGGATAGAAGGGCGTTCTTTCTGCGCATTCTGCGTGCGAATTCTGTGCCCTCTTTCTGCGCATTTCTGTGCCCTTTTTTCTGCGCATTCTGTGTGCGCATTCTATGTACGCATTCTGATTTTGATGGGGTACAGCTTGGCAGAACTCTGCAGCCTTAGCAGGCTAATAGAGTTGCGTTAAACTCAAGAAGGCAGGAAGGGGAACTTTATCTAATTACGTAGTAGAAGGCTGATCCTTCGGGCCGCTTTTTTAAGCTTATTATTATAATAGCCAATTGCATGCGCTTGGGGGTAAGTTCATACAGATAGACGAGATAGAGGTGATTATGTACAGAGATTAATAACTACAGAGGGCTGCCACAAAGGGTAATAACTGTAAAGAGTAGTAATCATAAGGGGCTACTATAAAAGGCTATAACCACATTTAAAAGGCGGCCCCGTATTGTCATGTGCGCTTGGCGGCACAATTGTATTTTAGCTTCTACGGATGCCCACGGGCTAATTAACTTCATCCAATCAATAAACATATCAACGAATCCTTTTGCCTATGGCGCCCACCATGAGTCTCTGGGACGAAGCACGGGACGTATTCGTGCAACGACTGCGTGAGGAAGGCGAAGACCGGCTGCTTATTGAACAATTCTTGAAGGACAAGGCAACCTTAGAGGAAACGCGGCAGAGCGCCGTGAATCTCCGCGATGATAGTGATAGGAAGTATGGCATCAACGAGAGCCGCGGCAAAGGTATCTCTGCCAAGTGGATTCGTCGAATCATGGAAAATCTTGATAAATTCACCAAGTTCGGCAACGTCGCCATGTCAGCTGCACCCGAGTCGGTCGGGCTTGCATGGTTTGCCATCACCCAGATACTAAGCGCCGTACAGAATGACTACAAGCTCTACGGCACGTTCAACGCCGCCCTAAACGATATTACGGAGATGATGGTGCTCGTACGCACCTACGACAAGATCTACCATACCGTGGAAGTCGACAGCAGCATTTACCACGAACTCTCCAAGGGTATCCGAGAGGTCTATATCTCCATCCTAGACTTCTCATATGCGGTCAAGAAACATATTACGGGAAGCAAGCGGTCGAAGCTGATGCATGCGCTAAAGGACACAATGGGAGCCCTGAACCGACAATTTGAGGAGAAGACCGCAGCGATCCAAGCCCAGAAGGCCAAAATTATCGAGTACTCGGAGGCAGCGTTCCAGGAAAAGACTACGGACAAGCTGGGTGACGTTTCGGGCGAGCTGGCCGGGATGCAGCAGACTATGCGCGAGGTGTACGAATTCCACCAGAAGTCGTCGAGCGAATGGAAGGAGATCTTGAACGAACTCAAGATCTCAAAAGCACCCAGTCACCGGGACTTGGCCGTTATGGAGTACGAGAAAAACTTGAAGCTCTTAACGCCGTGGCTAGTTGCTAGCACCGCAACCATGGCTGCACATGCGGAAGAGCATGAGATGGGAACATGTTCCTGGATCGACGAGGTCCCAGCCTACACTGCATGGCGCGACAGTGACACAAGCGCATTGCTCTGCGTCACTGGCGAAGCGGGTTCTGGCAAATCCGTGCTGGGCACCTTCATCTACGAGACTCTGCGCGACAAGGCGGGCGAAGATGGCCGATTTTTAATTCAATATGCATCGCTGAACGCCAGGTCCAGCGACGACGGGAGCGACACACTCAAAAGATTCGAGAACACTCTTCTGCGCGACATCTACGTACACGCGCTTGATGATGTAGACGATGACTTGCCCCTGCAGCGATGCAACCGTCTCTTTGCCCACCCAAAGCAGGTGAAGGACAAAAGTAGATCAGGCCGTGACAAAGATACGGGAAGATCGGCACGCAGCCGATACACCAGCGGTGACCATGCTTCCGATTTGCTGGAGATATACCCCAGTCTTGTCGAGGCACTGCAGAAGCGCGTAGTACTCGTTATCGATGCGGTTGACGGTCTGTCCGAAGCCGACCAGGCAAAGATAGCTGAGCATCTGATTGAGCTCAGCAACGTGCCTAGTATTTGTGTCCGTACTCTCCTTTTGTGTCGACCATCGAGCCCGATACGAATCAAGATGGTCGATGAGAACGTGTCCCAGGTATTGATGGGAGACCACAACGAAAGAGACATTAAACTTGTCCTCGAGAAAGGGCTGCAGATGATACCCGGTCTCTTTCTGACGGAAAAGACCGAGATCGAACATGCTGTCATGCAAAAGACGGGGCATCGGATCCAATATGTGGAGCAGGTAGCGATGCCGTTTCTACGTACCCCCATACAGCGACCGGTCGCTACTTGGCTCAGGGACCTGCCAGAGAACGTTAACGAGACATACCATCAGCATCTACACCAGCTCGCTCCCAGCTATCGCCATCTTCTCCGGGCAGCTTTGGCCTGGACACTGGTGGCGCAAACGCCGCTTCGGGTCGAGGAGATCATGGAGGCATATTCACGTGTGTACCTGGATGGCGACGCAAGCGAGGAGCAGAGCATGGCGAACACGGACCCCAGTTTGTACCGTGAACAGATCCAAAAGGCTGGAGGACCGTTCCTTGACATCCGGGATAATCGGTTTGTGGTGCTGCAGGATTCCCAAGCGGTCCGCAGCTTCTCCATCCCAGTACCGGATGTGGCTACGCATGGCGTAGACGACCGATCGTTATGCGCGAAATGTAGGACGGCCCTGCAGGCCAATGAGACGCTGAACATATCAGAAAAGCAGGAGCATTTAGCCATGGCCATTATCTGCAGTAAGTCTCACGCGTGTGGGTCGCATCAGCTGACGCACTTAGTGAAACATCTGAACTCTCATTCATTTCAGTCTCGCTTCTTTTCTCTGTCGCTCGGAGAAGTAACGTCGCGGGCTCAGAAGAAGTTGCAGGTCGACGAGAGCAACTCCAATGGAAAAGCGGAGAAGGAAAACGCGTTGGACCCGTCGAGCGGTATTGATTCGTCAGGTGGACCCCCAGGTTTAAACGGCCAACCCGGAGACGAAACCTCACAAGTACAAGACACTAAGGAGTCTCAACCGGAAGAGGAGGCGGACGATGACGACTCGACGTTTTCGGATCAAGATAAGGAGGACTTCGACCAGCCGGTCAATGATTGGGAGTGGTACGACGATAATGGAAATCGCCACCGTTATGAGGTAACCGGCTGGTACTACCACGTGCAGGAAGCCGAGCGCCTATGGCCACCGAGCGAGAGAAAAGAGAGCGCCGAATGGCAGGTGCTTTTGGACGAAATGGAGCGCTTCTTCCTTCTCGAACCAGTGGCGTTCGAAGTCTGGAAACTAGCCTACGTATGGTACAGCCATGAGGCATGGGAACCTCTTCTATTTGCCGCAGAGTACGGTCTCACGAGTCTCGCCGAGCTGCTACTCGATCGGGGAGCCAATGTGATGGATCTCTCGCCGGAGGGTTATAGTGCCTTACACGTTGCTTCAGAGGCCCCAAACCCCCTCGAGATACTGCGCTTGTTCCTAAGCCGAGGGGGTGACCCAAACTTTGAAAGCTCAAAAATTCCAGCTTTTCACGAGTGGCTGACGTTTAGCGCTGACGTGGAGTGTGTCCAGGAGCTTCTACGAAGCAACGCATCGTGCTCAATGCTCAATCGCAACCATCAGTGGAATGCGCTACACTATTTCGCTCAGTATGGCTCGGACCGTAAGGTCCTGGAACTCCTCCTGGATAACCCCCTGAACGCAGAAAATCGGGCAGATATCAACATACGAGATGGAATTGGGGAAACCCCCTTGCACAAATTGCTCCGCCGCCAAGAGATTCCGATCGACCTCCTCGAAGATTTTTTGATGCGTGGTGCCGACGTCAACGTCGAGGACAAGGCCTCGGAGCGGCCCCTTTACGAGGCTGCGAGCTGGGGCGAAAATGCAGCTATTAAGGCCATTATCAGCCGAGTGACCGATGTGGACGATGACAACAATTGGGGGCGAACGGCACTGCACGGCGCAGCGGGGGCTGGTCAAAAGGAGACAGTGGAACTGCTCTTGGACCATGGCGCTGATGCCAACCGCACGGATAAGCATAATCGGACACCGCTCCTGTTTGCGTGCCTTACGCACATGCGCGATTTCTTGCAGGGAGGTAGCCATCAAACGACCGCTGAACTACTCGTTGAGAACCAGATTAGGCACGGCGCATCCTTCCGCGAGATAAATGCCTGTACGAAGCGCGGCAGAACGCCCTTACGCGAAGCCGCCGGCAGAGGATTCACACAGGTCGTGGCCGCCATCCTTCAACAGATGACGCCCGAAGACAAGGAGTGGATAAACAAACGGGACGATCGAAAAGGCCGTGCCCCACTCCATTCTGCGGCTACGCATGGCCGGGGAGAGGGGATTGCGCTACTCCTGCAATACGGCGCTGATCCGAGCCTCCGTGACGGCGAGAATGGCACGGGCATGACTAGCCTTGAGCTGTGTTTAGACCGATGGTCGATTGTAGGCTCTCGGCGCTACGAAACAGCGATTGTGCATCTCGTAGGCGCCTCTGAAAATGAAGCGAAACAGAACAGTCTTCTTCTGACAACGGCGGCCATCCACGGCAGTGTCCAGGTCTTAGAGAAGCTTGCGCATGTTGGGGTAAACCTGGACCTGCCCGACGCGTATGGTTGGACACCCAGCCAGCTCGCATCACAGTTTGGCCACGCCGAGGCCGCACTATTTATTAAAAAGTCGCTGGCAAGGCGAGCTCTGCGGCCAACGCGATGGACACTTGGGAGCGATTCGAAGAAAACGACGTTACAGGATAATGGCCAGTGGGTAAGCCATCAAGGTGACCTAAGATTGTCTATCTTGGCCGATCATCCAGTCCCGGCAGGGTTATCCGTGTACTATTACGAGATCGAGATGCTCGACCCCGAGACGGGCAAGTCTCACGGTGAGTTCGAATTGATTAGGCCTCTCCGCTAAGTCGTTTCCTAATGTTATGACCAGACACGCCGACTGCTGGCGATGAAGCAATGGCAATAATCGCCCTTGGTTTCTGCACCTCATCTGCTAAATTAATCGAGTTTCCTGGGTGGCCGCCGAAACCGATTGCCCCCAACGTACAGTCATGGGCGTATCACGGCGACGACGGTGGGTTTTATGCGTCCGACGAAAAGAAGTGGCCACGGCAGTATGGAAAGCACTATGGGCCAGGCGATACAGTGGGCTGTGGATTGGAGGTAGATTCGCAAAGAATTTTCTTTACCCGCAACGGCGTTCATATTGGTAAGGGGGGCCTTCCTAATCCCTGACAAACCCACACCCCTCGAAGATCTGACGCTAATAATGGAGGCAAATGTTTTAGAAGACCAATCCTTTGAGAATTTCAAAGGGCGTGTGTTCCCCGTGCTCGGTCTTACCGACAAGGTTCAACTGCGCACGAACTTTGGAACTGATTCGAGCAAGCCTTGCAGATGGATTCCACAACCTGATGGAAGCTTAGAGAGATGAGACGTGGCCGAAGAAAATCTGGTCAAGAAAGAGTGAAGTGAGATAATGCTGCTTAGCAGTTACATTCTGGATATAATAATACACAGGTATAATTAATAGACTTTAATACAACTAAAAAGACAAATACAATTTTACATAGATTTAAGTAAGTAACTTTATTGGTGCAATGGCTCGAAACTAGAACAAGTCAATAGTCCATAGATTGCTAAAACGTAAGCTGAGGAGTCTATCTACAGTGCGGCCAGCGCTCTACTCTATATACTCCTCCATCGAACACAAGGGGTGCTACTAGTTAACCTGCGCAGAGGATCCGACGGAGTATCTGCAGGGCCAGAAGTGTAATGGCTCAAAACTAGAACAAGTCAATAGTCCATAGATTGCTAAAACGTAAGCTGAGGAGTCTATCTACAGTGCGGCCAGCGCTCTACTCTATATACTCCTCCATCGAACACAAGGGGTGCTACTAGTTAACCTGCGCAGAGGATCTGACGGAGTATCTGCAGGGCCAGAAGCGGTAGCTTCCCTCTGGAGGAGATTGTACTTCCCTAAAGGGGTCGTATCAATCTCCTGTTCCATAGTACTCGTACAGGGAGCCACGTGCTATACAGATGCCTTTATCAGTGGCATAGTAGCTTGACAGCAAGAGTTCTGTATGTTGTTATAGATACGTCATCAGCACTGCCATCTAAGTGTGTGGCTAGTCTAATATATTTCCTGTGCTATAGTAAAGGAGATACTTTATTTATTATATTATTTTCTTTGAAGTTCGTGATAGGGTAGTAGGTCAGGTTCTCTAGCCAACCTACCCACTTGGCTTGCACCTTCAAGGCCTTGCCCACTTGCTTGACGTCGACTATGTCCTCAATCTCCCACGCCTCCTCTCCTTTTGTTTCCACTGGCAGAGGCTGTGAATATTCCTAGCCTGGCAGGGGGTCAGTAGGGTCTTTAGTAAGCAGCAATGCGTGAAACACGTTGTGAATCCGCATTAACAAGGGCAGCTCTAGACAAAAGCTCTGCCCAAGTCTCTTCACAATAAGGAATAGTCTAATTCATTTCGAATCCAGCTTCTTGCAAGATCTTATTATGCTAATATTCTTTATTAATAGCTAGACCTTGTCTCCTTCTTCGAAATCGATTTCCTAGCAGTGCTTATTCATCTACTCTTGCTGTTACTCTTGCGCAATCTTCAAGTACCCTTGTGCCTACTTCTAAACCTTTTTTATTAGCTTTATCAGGTTCTTAGCCTTCCCTAGGGCTACACGTTTTCTTGCTATCTCTGCAGACTCAGGCTTATCAAAACTCATTCTTAGCTAATATCTACGTATGTTTATAAATGGCGACAGCTATATAAACTTAGACACTACTATATTCACAGTAAATTTAGTGCTTAAGAGGAGATTATTTTAATCGTTTTATGCAAAATCTATATAGGCCCTTAGGTATTATTTTATCTCTGTATTAAAGACTTCTGTTTAGCTATTTATCTATAGAGAGTAAGCTATAAATAGCTTTGCTTTAACTCGTAAGATTTAATATTATGATTTCTATACTTTACTAGCACACTAAGGCCCTTAATCTGATATAATTATCTAAGGAAGCTTATAAAGCTTTTATACGTTCCTATATAGTATCTTAATTATCTCTTCTGAAGTTATGCCCTCTTCTGTGGCCGTATAAGGGATATAGTAGCGTTCCTTACTTAACTGATTAACAACTACTAGAACAGTGTTATAGCCTTCTGATGTCGGTAATCCTGTGACGAAATCCATTAAGATATCCTGCTAGGGGCGCTCAGAAATCGGAAGAGATTATAATAGGCCTGCAGGGAGCTGATATACAGGTTTGGTCCTCTTGCAGACATGACAATTCCGCAAGAATCTCCCGACTAATGTGTATCTATTCGAGATGTAATATCTACTACTCGCAATGGCCTTCCTTGTCTTTGTACAGCCTGGGTGCTTAGTCTCCTTGCTCTTGTGGATCTCTTGAATCATGTCCGTCACTATTGCTGCTAGTACTACTAGTTTTTCTCTGTACTACAGCACTCCTTCCTTGTCTTCACAATTTTGAATGTTGTACCTAAATATTTTCTTCTTTAGGTTCTTTACTTGTTTCTCTATCCTAATCGCGTTAAACATCTCGTCAACCTGATTCTCTTTCTTTACCCTCTTCTAGAGCGGCAAATCTTCCTCTCTAAGATTATAAGGTACACAGCCTTTGTCACATAGAAGATCTGCAATCTCTGCTAGTGTTCGCTAACGCGTATAGGCAAATAAAGGGCCTAAGAGATGAATTAATAAATCTTACTAACAAAATCAGAGATGGGAATAAGTTTGGCTAGGTCTACTATATTAATTTATAACCTTTTATAAAGTTATTCTGCTAATTAATAATCTATAATTGCGCTTAACTAACATCTTGTATCTAATAGTGCTGATACTGTTAATCTTTCTCTTCCCCTCTTAATACTAACGTTAACCAGAAATGGAGCCTTGAAATTACCCTCCACTACTACGACAAGAATCCTTATGGCTTCTCTATTAGTTGCGTTACTAGGCCCGCTCACGACGTCTTAGTGGCAGGCAGCTCTTTTCCTAATTACTCTTGTGCCTGAGGGCAATCCTTTATGTAGTGTTCTAGTTTCTTGCAACAGTAGCACCTTACTGTAGACACATCTTTCGGAAGTCATAGCTTAGCCACTAGCTGATCCTCCTTCACTATTGATTCGCTAGTAGATTAACGAGTATTAGGAACCGAAGGTTTCGCTAGCGTACTAGCGCTAGCTACTAATTTGTTTAAGGCAATACGTTAACTATTTATATTAGCGTATGTTAGGTCTGTAATTATCTCCTGAATTAACACATATTTGCGGAGAATAATTACTTACTTCAGATTATCTTAAACCTTGTCTTAAAAGTCTATAATCTGATTCTCTTCTCAGACCTCTGCTTTACAAGAAAGCTGTTAGAAATCCCTTAAGAATATAGTAAGGTCTTGCTGCCCTTACTATAAGTAGTAATACTCTCTATAAGTAGTCTCTTATTAAAATAGAGAATTAAATTAAGTTAAAAGGTCTGTAAATATATCAGAAATCTAGGCCTTTTTAAAGTCCTTAAAATATGACTTAAGTAATTCCTAAGCGTTGCTGCTTGTGCGTAATTATATATAGGCGATCTTAGATAGCTTTGTTAGAAAGAGCGCTGTATTAATTATGAACTTTATCTTTATAACTAACAACTAAGAGCGAAACTTCTAAGGAGATCCATCCTCAAAGACCTCTGGATAAGGCAGCTTCTCAGTTTTCAGGCCAAGCACTATTAAAGGGCTTGGAGTTGCTTCTAACGAGACTTGCCTTTGAGGCGGCGATTCTCGTTCTGTCGGGGTTTCTGAAGGAGACTCCACCTGAACTTGCGGCTTTGGTATCACAGTAATCTTGTCGCAGAGGTTCTGAATGATCTCCTCCTTGTCACGGAGTCGATCCTTCAGAGCCTCAATCTCGATGCTGGTGCCTCCGTCAAGGTCTTGGTATCTTTCTTCCCAAGTTTCCTTCTCCTGGAGGACTTCTCAATGCTCGGCCTCCTTCTCCAGATGGAGGGCTTTTTCTTCCTTATAGGCAGCTGCCAATGTTAGTACAAACGCTGCTGCGTGTGTCTGATTCTCGTTAACTAGTGCTATAAAGGCTGGAAGAGCTGATGGATCATCTGTCGCTCTCTCTGCGTGCTCGATTAATGCGCGCAGGGCGTCTTAATCTGTAAAAGGGGCTTTGTCTAGGCTCTGCCTCTGGTTGCTCAAGGAAGGATAGCAAACTTCGCCACTCTCCCTTCTCTCTGTTTGATCACGAACCATCTTGACTCGATAGTTCTCAAACCTTCGTACGGTACAGGGTATTTGATTACTCCCGGAGTAACGACTTTCTCACACAGTCAAACAACCCTAGATGGGTTCTCTAATGGCTGTGCTACGGATAAGAGAGTTTTGTATCGTCTCTCAGGATAGCGAGTAAGTATTAAGCTTACGTTTACTGTAATGGCTCAGAACTAGAACAAGTCAATAGTCTATAGATTGCTAAAACGTAAGCTGAGGAGTCTATCTATAGTGCGGCCAGCGCTTTACTCTATATATTCCTTTATTATACACAAGGGGTGCTACTAGTTAATCTGCGCAGAGGATCCGACAGAGTATCTGCAGGGCCAAAAGCGGTAGCTTCCCTCTAGAGGAGATTATACTTCCTTAAAGGGGTCGTATCAATCTCCTATTCTATAATACTCGTACAGGGAGCCACGTGCCGTACGGATGCCTTTATTAGCGGCATAATAACTTGACAGCAAGAGTTCCGTATGCCGTTATAGATACGTTATCAGCGCTGCTATCCGAGTGCGTGGCTAGTCCTGTGTATTTCCTGCGCTATAGCAGAGGAGATACTCTATTTATCACACACTTATTATAAAGGATACAGATAGTTTAATTAAGTAGAAAGCGACTATACAACAGCGATTAAGTGGAAGGTCAGTAAAAGAAAGTGTTATATAGGCTGAGTTATCAGGCTTATAGTAATGTAAAAGATACGGCAAGCCTAACTACAATATACGAATTTGTCAGAAGATTAAAGAGACATCTAAG